CCACATTTTCCTTTTCTACTTTTCCATTAATCTCTCATCATCTCTTATTCTCTCTGTTCCTCCTCCTAACCCATTATATTTTCCGGTTTAGAAATGGCGTTTCTGGTCCGCGATCCAGTTAGCAATGCCACGTTCCTACCGTCCGCACATCGCGGGTTTGCGTCGCGTATTCGCGTGCGGTCGCGTTGCTACGACGCGCATTTGGTTATTGATGGAGGCGCTGCGTACAAATTTAACGATGGTGCTGAGGCCATTTTAGAGGTCAGTATTATTATTAATAATAAATATTATTTATATACGTATATTATTATACAATAAAAATATAATAACAATAATTATTATTATTATATTATTTTAGGTTCACCCAGAGGACGCCCTCAAAACGGTTGTATTTCGGTGACGAACCGACCGCTCACCATCAATACAGAATGCGAAATGACCCGCCCAATTCGCGATATATTTTAATTTTGACATAATTCTATTAAATATGTCTTTCGCTTTTCATTGATATCACTTTATATTTGCATTTATATATATTCTTATAGGAATATATAATAAAAATTATTATTATTGTTATTATTATCGTTATTGTTATCACCTTATCAGTATTACGGTAGCTCTGTTATCACCACTATCACTATGGCTGCTATCAGTTCCATGCATTTATCACTTTGTTATCACTCTCTTATCACTGCGTTATCATTTTCTTATCATTTTGTTATCACTAAATTCACAGACTCTCAATAAATTTTTATCACGGAAATGTATCAACTCCACTCATAATAACAACATAATAACAACGATAATAATAACATAATAAAAAAGAAATTGGACACTTGCCAGCAATAGTATCTCGCGACCGCATCACCAATCAATTCAGTTGGTCACTTTGTCTCGTCTCTTGGCCGTTTGCCAATACAACATCTTTTCGGCATTTTGCCAACGTACATTTCCTTTGTGCCATTCGCCTGGAATGCCGTTTTGAGCGGGAGCGTTTGATGACGATATATCGTAATTCACGATTGCTTGCCTGAACCAGGGAACGGGTCTCACAACGAAAACTGTCTTACTGTACAATAGCAACAATCAAAACGATCGCTTGCCTATGAACCAACGAGCATTTCAGAGCAAATTTTAATTTCAGAGCACCAGAAACTTCAATTTCAAATTCCAACCAAAACAAAAAACGCGAGACTAAAAACAGAACTGAAAAAAAACAACCGACCGCTCACCATCAGCGCAAAATCGAACACTAACCAAATAAGTGGGCAATCTCAGCATACACGTCAAAACGGCCAACATCGACGCCAAATCCGTGCACGTCATATAAAACGAGAAATATTGTTGAATCAACGTATCGTAATCAATGAACTCCCAGAATGTTACGAACACGTTCGCCGCATTCGACAGCACGTAAGTGAAACACAACAGCACCATTGTCCATGTTGCACTACGCACGCGCTCCTTAAAATACCATTTATTATTATTATATCTATATTTATTATTATTATTAATTACTATTGTTACAATAATTATTATTATAAAATCCCCACAAATTTTGACAAAAAATGCAACATTAATAAACCCATCCAAAAACCACACAAACTCATCACACAACACAGCTGAACACAACCGACCGCTCACCATCAGCGCACAGTCGAACACTGACCAAATCAATCGAAGAAGGCTCCCATAACCTCTACCAAAACCACTACTCACTATCCTCTGACATAACTAATTATCACCATTATCACTACCGTACCTTATCACCTTATCACTACCGTACCCTTATCAATCAATAAGCACCGACCTCATTCCGCAGCTGCACCGCACCGGTCAAACGGGCACAATTCCTTTCCGAGCGTATCTGTGCCTTTATCGCTCCGACGATCATCAAATTAAAACAAATTATTAGAATGAACGGCACCACGACCGTCACCAAATGCCGCATCCAGAATCGATACACCGTCCCGTACCACAGCGTTGCGCATTTCGCTGACAGATCCACCACATACTCTGACACTGTGCCAACACAGGCCGGCTCAAACCTGAAGCTATTCATAATCGTAATAATAAAAACAATAATTAATAATAATAACTATAATAATAATAATAATAACAATAAATAATAATAAACAATACTAACAATAATAAATTATTATCAGACTGAACCCATCCAATAATAATAAACCCATCCAAAAAGCAGACAACTCTTTGCACAACGCAGCTGAACACAACCGAAATAATAATAAACAATACTAACAATAATAAATTATTATCAGACTGAACCCATCCAATAATAATAAACCCATCCAAAAAGCAGACAACTCTTTGCACAACGCAGCTGAACACAACCGACCGCTCACCGCCAACGCAAAATCAAACACTGACCAACCAAAAACATAAACGATAATAAATAACCTCAGTTCCAGCTCCGTCACCATTGGCGCCTTCATCAGCAACGCGAGCACTAACGCGAGCGCGCACAACGCACGCCGATTGCGTCGCGCCATCGTCAAACGCGCGCCATTGCGAACCGTCAACAGATAGCGTTCAATCGATACGAACACCAAAATAAAACTGCAATTTCCGAAAAATTCAGCGAAAATTTCCGAAATTTCTCATCGCGTAAGAAGAATTTTGAAAAAATTCCATCCAACTTTCACAAATTATATCAAAATCTATAAAATTCCATCGAAAAATTATAAAAATTCCGCCGAAATCCTCAGTTTTCGCTACATAAGCCATAATCGCCTACCGAATAACCAAATCAAAACAAAATCAACAGTGTAAACGAGCAAGTAAGCCACAAAGTAAAAAGTAACGAAAAAAGTAACTTAACTCCAAAAAAAGTAACTCAACTCCAACAAAAGTAACTTAATACCAATAAAAGTAACTGAACTCCAATAAAAGTAACTTAACACCAAAAGTAAAGTAACTTAACTCCAAAAAAAAAGTAACTGAACTCCAACAAAAGTAACTTAACACCAATAAAAGTAACTGAACTCCAATAAAAGTAACGAAAACAAGTAACCACTCACCACGATGCGGACATCGCCACGTGCGTGATCGTCAGCAAATACCCGAAATACGCCCACCACAACCTCGCCAATTCCATCGATTGCAATCGATCCTTCAGATAATCCACTCCAATCACCGGAATATAGCACAACGATACGATCAGATCCAAGATGGCCAACACCAGAACATAGTACAGGTGTGATGAGCCGGCGCCACCGTTACCGCCGTTACCGTAATCCGCACGCGTTCCATCCGTCCCGCCGCTGGCGCGTCTACTTTTCCGCACAAGACTCCAGGCCAACACCGAATTGTTCAAAATTGACACTAGCGAAAAAATGGAGCCACATACCAGAATCGGAGCACTAAAGCCGATCTCACTGGTCAGCGAACATAGTAGTCGCTCCGAAACGTCCGCCGCCGTCTCAGCCACCCTGTCAGGGTCGGCCGGGTGCCGCCCCAGCTCGCCAACCTGCCCTCCGGGCACAAGCTCGAACCCAAGTCCAACGCCGTCTCTGACGGCTGCCGCCACCCCTTCGCCACTTCCCTCTCCAAACAGGGCCGCCGAATCCGTTCCGTTCCTTCCGGCAATATCCCCTAAATCATCGACCCCTCGACCGGCCGCATTCAGAAGACCGACTAAATTCGGTGCCAGCACCTCAAGCTGAGCCCTCAGCACATCGTCGTCCACCTCAAAAAGCATCCGA